TTGATTCATAGGGCATTGATTGGTTAGGAATTGTGATATCAGCATATGACATACTGTAATACAGAGCTGTTGTGTTTGTGGGGCCTGAAACCATTCCCCCTCTTTCCTTCTGCTTTCCTGTCCAATCACCAGCATTCTAGATAATCAAGGCTAAAAAGCAATTTTGAATTCATGTTGACTTCAAGGGTGGAGGTAAAGTGTTATTAGCAGTGCTCTGACTATGGGACACTCGGGCAGATATGTACATAAACGAGACTCGCACTCACCAACACGGCCAGCAGGATTGGCGAACGAATTATCCACCAGTACTCCATGTTAATATTCTGCACCCAGCATCTGATCAACAAAAAGAGATCAAGTACATCACTGCAAATGAGCAAATAGATGGCCTACTTTTGTTCATTAAATATACACAATACAGACAAACGTTTACTGAAGCAACTTGTATGTCTCTCAATCATCATTGTATTGCATTGCATTTTTTTTGCCCTCAACAATAAAAACTACAAAGCTGTGATAATAAAACGAAGCATTTAAATATCATATTAGACATATTAATCTATGTGAGATATACATGAGTGACAACTGATTTTATTTAAGTAGTCTGTTATAAATATCTCATTGATTTACAGTACAAGCTATCCGAATTTCATCTTTTTGGCCATATAAATATCAGAAACTGCAGCAAATTGCATATTGTTGCTCAGTTTTGGCCTCTGAATAAAATTGAGGTGTTTTTCAACCTCAAGTTTGAGCTCCATATTCTTTCTATATAATACTATATGAGCCATAAAAACCTGATGCATAAAATGTTACTTAGCATAAATCACATATGCAAACTTTATTTCAGATATTTGCAATATTTTGTCTAAAGGTTCAATAAACTGAAAAAAAAAAAATCAATTTTTCTTACAATGATTTCATATTTCAGGCTTTACAGAGTTAATAAAGTCTAAATGTGTTTAAGATTTAAGATGTCATTGTTACAGTGCAATTACACAATTTAGTACTAAGTAATATTAATTAACAACATGTATTTACTATAGGGTTATTCATTAGTGTTTGGTTTAGGGTTAGTTGCTTGCAATTATGCATAATTTACTGTTATTACTATAGTAAGGAGATGTAACATGTAACAAGGACACTGTAAAATACCATGTAGCCAGAATCACAGCACATTCAACATCACTTAAAAGAATTAGGAGAATACTAGTAGAGAATACTGTAATACTGTTCAGAATAATGTTCATAAAGGAATGCCAGCTTACTTTTTTTTTACTGATGCTCTACATACACTGTGTATACTGCCTAATATAAAAAACCCCCAGTAAAAACAGTACATTATGCAAAGCAATATGCTAATTTGTTGCCACATGACACACAACTTCATAATGCATATTTGTTTAAATTCAGTACATCAAGAACATGTTATTTTTCTTATTATGATTTTTTAATTTTATTTTATTAATTTTTTAAACTCCAATTTCGTGTATAACACATTTTTTTGCAGTTCTATTAAATAATGCACAACGAACTAGATGTTTAAAATTCTGGCTATATTAATTGCGGTTCATTAATCACACTTGAAATGGAAGGTAAAATTAAGTGCATTACAGTGTGCCGTTCTGTTGCATACTGCACATTTTGACTATACAGTAGTATTTCAATGCATACAGAAAACCTGCACACTGAAAATGCAGCATTATCTCAGTATCTGGAGTGATAGCGTGGAAAAAACCAGCGACTCTGCAACAAATAGCCTCACAGACACATGACAGATGACATGCTGCCTAAATGGGGATAATGCTAAATTTATCAACAGGAAGGAATGATTCTTTTATCTGCTCAGGACGGGTAAGTTCAGATGGATGGATGGGGTGATGAGTGCGGGAGAGTATGAATCTGTCCTCAACCCCTAGCAGGCCATGACACATTAAAGTGCAGTCACAGATATACAAACTACATGATTTATGTCAGTCTCTGTGCCTGCTGGTGAGCTATAGAAAAAAGGGGCTGGGCTACAGAAGTAAACTTATTTATAAAAACAGAATTTATTATGGAAATAAAACACTTAAAGGGATAGTTTACCCAAAAATGTATTTTTTTTTATCATTTACTCACCTTTAATTTGTTCCAACCCTGTATGAGTTTCTTTCTTCTGTTGAACACAGAAGAAGATATTTTCAAGAATGTGGGTAACCAAACAGCTGACGGTAGACATTGACTTCTATAGAATGACAAGAAAAAAAAAAAATACTATGGAAGTCAATGGCTACCATCAGCTATTTGGTTGCCAACATTCTTCAAAAATTTTGTGTACAACAGAAGAATGAAACTCATACAGTTTTGGAATTTTTTGGGTGAACTATTACTTTAAGGGTGAATTGAATGTCATGTTTTTGGGACACTCAGCTGCATGTTAATTGCAATTAAATAAAAATGTATTACAGCTTATAAGTTATATTTTATACAATTAGACAACTTTAGAGTGTTTTTGACCCACTTCAATAGGACTTAAGTACATCTTTATATGCAATTTCATAACTTGTAATGTTTTTGAAATATGGCTAAAGTATATACCTTTAAGATCTGAAGCACACTACAAGTACACATTCAATAAAATTAAACATACTCCATTTTCACAGACGATTTATACTGAACACTCTTAATATATTTACAGTCACTTGGCTGATGCTAAAAAATAAGCAATTATTATTAATTACAATATTTGCAATCTTGTTAATCTTTTTTTTATTTGTCCATTAAGTCCTAAAGACTGTTATTATACTAGTTTTGTGACTCACAAGACTGAAATGCTTTCATGAGAGTGCCCCTCATTAAGGAGAGACATTTCACAACATCAGAAGTTCAATTCATTTCCATGAATCAGTAAATAGATTTAATTGAATTGATTCAGTTGATTGAATTCAATTGATTGAGTTGCTTCATCACATAATAAATGTTAACGGAAGTGCCAATGTGACTTTTTATGTTTTAAAATATGTTAGTAACCATATATGCAGGCAAAAATATGTCTATTTGACCGAAAGGATGGTTGAAGCAGAAACATATAAAAAATATTATTTTTAGCTTTATCATCCAGCTCTAACAGAAAATATATAGAAAATGTAATGTTTAACTATTACCATATGGAAAATACATTTTACATTTAAAGGGTTAGTTCACCCAAAAATGATATTTAGGCTGTGTTTTACTCTCCCCCGAGGCATCCTAGGTGTATAGGACTTTCTTCTTAGCACTGCAACACCCGCTGACTGCAACGATAGAGCTTGGAATAGCTAGGACAATTTTTAATACAACTCCGACTGGATTCGTCTGAAAGAAGAAAGTCATATACACCTAGGATGCCTCGGGGGTGAGTAAAACACAGCCTAATTTTCATTTTTGGGTGAACTAACCCTTTAAGGGACCAACAGGATTTAATACTAGAGTGCTACTTACAATACATCTGATGTTTAGCAGACTAACTTATGGGAATTATGTACTGGATTGGATGAATATGGATGAAATAGATACTATTAAATACGTAAACTCAGCACCCACAAAGGGTCATTAAAATAAATGTAAATCTTGAAAACCCTTCCAACAATAACAGTGAATGATTGTAAGATTTATGAGATTTTACAATGCACTGTGTAACTCACTGGTCAAGGTCAATGTGATACGTTGGCTGTTACATGCAAGACTTGTAAGACTGGAGTGGATGCTGCAGGTATATAAAATGCTAAATAGTAATTTATCATAGAGAAGCTGAAAATCTGTGTAGCATCACAGCATTTGACATAGTATCTGGGCAGCATGTGTTCATAATTTATGTATTTGATTTGTTATAAAACAAACGCTACAGTGACAGAGTACTGATGTCGGCCAACTCTCCAACTGCAAAAAACACACAAGCACTGGCTTTCATCAGTCGCAAACACACTCATCCCACATGGCTCTAGAACTTACTCTTCATTCTCATACAAGTACTTCACGATCACCCACGGCAACACGAATATCAGAGGGGCACCTGAGGGAGAAAGAGAGAGTCCTTGTGATACGAGGCATAAACCATCTGCCGCGCTCTGTTTGGACACGCTATGTATGAGGAAGCTCTTAAACCCTGCTAATGAGTTCACGGCGTAAAAGCTCTGAACCTCTCACCCCAGCCAATACACTGGTAGATGCCAAAGTAATTCCTCTCTGTCAAGACTGTCATGACCAGAAGGCTGTGCAGGTAGATGCCCTCCACCAGCAGCCAGTAGTTGTTAGCTAGTATGCTGTACTGCATCATCACCATTGCAACTCTGCAGCCGACCGCCGTCTGAAACGCAGAGTTTTTGGGTCACTGAAAGCTTTCGGCTAAATTTTAACCTGCCGTCTCCATTCAGATTTGCACAGTAAATAGGTATTTAACCCACATCTATATTAACATGCATTTCAAAGAATATTCTTGGTCATTTACAATACACTGTAAGGTTTATGGACAGCATATTAGCATAGAAAGATCTTAAAAGCAGAAAGTAAAAGTTTTTTTTTTTAATTAAATGGCTTAAATGACTCATGAAAACTCCAGTAAAATGTTTGTAATGTTTGCAAACGCAAACCTTCTTTTGGCTTTAAAAAAACTACTGCTAGGATTTACTAAAGACAGTAAAACATTAGAAATTAAAAAGCGTGGACAGTTATTTTTGCAGCTGAACTTATTGTATATGCATTTGTAAAAGATACAACATTTATGGGAGGAGAGAATTTAAATCAATCATGCAATGTCATATACTGAGGTTTGTGGTAGTCAATTTACTGGTTTTGCATAATTTAACACCCAGAAATGCATGTCTTAACCCATGTTGTGCTTGACATGTCTGTGTCAGATGCTAATTTGATCTGGATGTGTCTATGGTCATTAATCTAAGCATTGTCAGTAGATCATCCGAAAACTATTATGGGATTGTGCTCTCACGCTAATTTGCCCTATTTAATGAATCTGGTCATAAATGTACAGAATATGCTAATTATTATGAATTAGTTACCAAAATAGTTCTCATAAACTAACAATTTTTATATATACTAATAAATTTTTTTACATGAATAAAAGTTGTCAAAAGTTGTTAATATATTAGCAATAAATATTCGGACACTGATTCTTACAAATTACATTAAATCCAACCTTTAAAAGTAGAATGATGCTTTTTTTCTTATTGAAAACACATCCAACAGGAACAGAAAAATCCCCTAATTGAAGAATTCACACAACGTGCTGTCCATAGACATTCAATTGTAAATAACCCAGAATATTCTTTTGAAAATAATTATATAGGTATAGGATTATTAAAAATGTGTATGAATCTAGATACACAACACATTTCAAAAGTTTGGGGTTTGCAAGATTCTTTAAAAAAGAAATGTATACTTTCCTTCAGCGATAATGCATTCAACTGATGAAAAGACAATAAAAAAAGAGACATTTTCTATCTCCAATAAATGCTGTTTTTCTGAACTTTCTATTCATCAACGAATCCTGAAACAATTTTTACAGTTTCCACAAAAATATTAAGCAGCAACTGTTTTAACATTGATAAGAAATGTGTCTTGAGCAGCAAATCAGCATATCAGAATGATTTAGGATCATGTGTCACTGAAGACTGGAGTAATGATGCTGAAAATTCAGCTTTGCATTACAGAAATAAATTAAATAGAATACATTTTAACATATTCAAATGGAAAACAGTTATTTTAAATTGTAAGAACACTTCACAATATTACATTTTTTAATATTTAAAATAAATGCAGTCTTGGTGAACATTTAACATCTTACTGCCCCCAAACTTTTGAATGTTAGTACAGTATATTATCATCTTTTAATAACAACAGTAACAAAGAAAGACAGCAGGTTATTACACCTCGTTTTTAACCAGCCACTCCACCTCCAGTTCAGTGGTGATGTCTTGACCAACATGGAAGTCATCAGGCCTTTCCAACATGGCATCTTTGATGAGAATAGAAGAGGCTCGCAGGATGAAGGAGGCAAACAAGTTCATGTGGATGTTGTTTCTCATGCAGTGCAGCTTCCTGTGGGGATCAGAGTGCAATGAATAAAAATCAAAAAGCATTACATTGTTCACACAAAGAAGCCCAACACCTTAACCACTGCCACAACCAAAGATCCAGAAACTGATGCTAAACACGTTTTCAGATTAAAATGTAAGCAGCAGGAATAAATTCCCAGTTGGCTTGAATGTTACCTAAAGGCTACCAGGATGCCCAACGCCAGCACCAGCGCCCCAAGAGACAGGGAATATCCAATGGTGTACATGGTCCGGAACTGACTGAGGACCCGTCCGTAGTGTTGCTGCACATAGACATACAAATCATCTGCTCAGACAATGACACAAATGCACAGGTGAACGCCATACTGAATTTAAGGTGGATGAAACCGAGGCTGTGAGGGATAGACTTACAGTCTTTACATTGGCATGAACTGTATAAAGGTCCGAGGTCACATCTTTATTTAAAACTCACAACTTTGTTTTATGGAGTTTTTGTCCACTGAAAGTCTTCGGAAAGATGTTTTGTCAGCTGAACAATTGGTATGAAGTTAAACAACAGTACAATCCACTGAACACACTGTAGTTCTATTAATATTTCAGTATACTTATTGTACTGTTATATTAGGAGCTTACAGGTTAAATTTTATTTTGATAAATATTTTCAGCAGTATGTTTGATAAATAAAAAAATATATATAATTCATCTTTAAAACGTTTAAGAGCTAACAGATATTTAATATAACAATCACCTATTCATCTAGCCTCAAAAGAGTTGCAGTGTTTCTCACATACCATGTTGATTTGTGCGGGGTCACGTGATACACATTCGCTGGCATTCTTCTGTTTGCTATACTGTCCGTCTGCATCACACTCCAGATACACAAACCCATGTCGGACTGACACACAAACACATACACAGATTGAGTGGTCACACAGGGTGCATAAGAGAGAGTCATATGTGCATTAGAGAATACTGCATATGGTGTTAAATTAGCTAAGCTAAAAGAAGTGCATTATTTAAAGTGCAGCCACATATAGCATTTTTTTCACACAATTATGGACATGCATTTACTCATACTCATAAATATTGTGCAACCTGTCATTACATGCCCAGCTAATATTTCACTCAAAATTGGAAAGAATATGAAACATGCAATGTGAATAATGGAGGCAATATGTATAATTGTGATTAATTAAATGTTGAGCCATAAATAACTGTTAAATAACACAAACAATTGTTAATCTTCTGAATTATAAGGAAGGGGTACTAGACAGTCTTTTGACTGTTGAAACTGCTCATATTTCAAGCTTAATCAAGTGTAAATAAGTTTTAAGTTTCATTTTTGTTTTTGTAACCTGACAAACAAAAAGTAAACTTTTAATGGAAAATGGCCCAGACTGGCTTGTAAATGTAAATAAATCTTAAAGGAATAGTTCAACCAAAAATGAAAATTTGCTAAGAATTCACTCTCCCTCAGCCCATTCAAGATGTAAACGAGTTTGTTTCTTCATCAGAACAGATTTGGAGAAACTGGGCACTACATAACTTGCTCGCCAATGGATCCTCTGCAGTGAATGGGTGCCATCAGAATGAGGGTCCAAACAGCTGTTAAAAACATCACAATAATCCACAAGTGATCCACACCACTCCAGTCCATCAATGAATGGCTTGTGAAGTGAAAAGCTACATGTTTGTGAGAAACAAATCCATCATTAAGACATTTTAACCTCTATCCATAATATTACTTTCTCCAATGAAAAAGTGATCTCATCTGAATCAGGAGAGACATATGCACAGATGGACTTTTTTTTTCTTACAAACACAGCTTTTCACTTCAGAAGATGTTAATTAATGGACTGTAGTGGTGTGGATTACTTGTGGATTATAGTGATGTTTTTCTCAGCTGTTTGGACTCTCATTCTGACGGCACCCATTCACTGCAGAGGATCCATTGGTGAGCAAGTGATATGATCCTAAATCTCATCTACATTTTTTGCATTTTCAGCAAATTTTCCTTTTTTTGGGGTGAACCATTCCTTTAAACCGTGATTACAGTAAATGTCACAATGAAAATAAATCTTAATAGTCCAAAAATAATATTTCCAGTAGTCTTACCTTCCTTGTGCCAGGGCAAGTACCAGGGGCAGGCTACACTCACTGTAGTATTGGGCAGTGCATCCGGCCAGCAGGCATACTTATCAAATGTTCTGTTGCACACAAGACCTAGAAAACAACCATTAATGTTAAAGTCTCCTAGGCTTTGCTGTGCTGGACAGGATCAGTATGTGACATGACCCCTAATCAGAGGTCTCAGCAGTGTTTTCCAACATACATCCCTTAACAGCACTGTGCACTTTTATCATGGCTGTCAACAGGGTCTATGAAAGACCCCATCTGAACTTACACAAGACTGTGACTGTGAACGTCACTGTGAATCCAGCCATTACTTGTGGAAGGATGCTGAACAACTCACCTGTCATCGGTGGTTCTCTGCTAATATTTCGAAAACATTCATCTCGATACATCATCCATCTTGCCATCAATGTTTTGAGAGATGCAGCAGATGACACCTAGAGTCAATTAGTGAGACCACATGAAAAAATACATTGAATTAAATATTATAATTAAAAATTTTTTTTCTTTAAAACACAAAATAAGTTAGCTAGAAGAATGTCAAGGCTGGTCTTTCCCATACCATGGAAGTAAATGGTGACAAAAAGACATATACGTAAGTATCATAACAGCAAACCACCATGCAAGCAGCATTCAAATATGAAGTAAAGAGCTCTGGGTGACATTAGTTAGATTGTATGAGAACAGTTTAGGGTCTGGACTCTAGTGAACACTCCCATCACAATCAACAAAGCTTGTGTGTTGCGCTACTTATTTTGGGTGTGGACAGAGTATTGAAATCTAACCATAACATTCAGCGACTGCAGAAGTTCTGCAAGCTGGGCTTCAGTAATGATCCTCTGTGATGTTTTTCTTTCTTTTTATTTCCTCACATGAATATGCTGAATTAATGCCTAATCTGGTCTTCAGTGAGTTGCATAATGCTCCGACTCTTAGCCAACTCGAAAAAAGAGCTGAGCGGTGCGTGTGTGGCATTTTTATTTGTTCTCAGCTTTATTTGTATATTTATCTGGCTAGATAACTCAAACTTATTTATTTAAAATGAAATGCATGCAGTGCACAAATAAAAAAAGTAGAAAAAACATTCAAGGTTAAACCAAAAGCACCGTTGTGAAAAAGAAGTGCACTTGCAGATTATATATATATATATATATATATACTGTATATATATATATATATATATATACATATATATATACATATATATATATATACACACACACACACACACTTTCACAATTGATTATTAACACACTTTTAAAAAGTCCACTTTGTAATAACATCAAATTAAATGTTTTACTTTAAAGTACATTTTAAATCAGTATGTTTTTATAATCTTTACACTTATGTACATTTATTTCGATGTGTTGATGTTATTGATGTTAATTTGACTAACAAGCATTTTTTAATGTACTTGATAATCATTTTAACAGTGTATTTGATATCACATTTAAATATTAATATACTTTAAATGTACAAAATTGCAACTTCACAACTGAGTAAAGTTACATACTGTATATATTTAAAAAGATGATATACAAGTTTCAGTAGAAATTACATTAAAGTATATTTAAGTTTATTTATGGTAGTCAGCACATTCGTCAATACACTTTAACCATATTTCAAAGACAATAGAAGTAATTATGAAATGACATTTTAAGATGTACTTTAGTCTTAAGTGAGTCAATAAAGCACTCTAAACTTACATTTAAAATAAATTTAAACTATAATACATTTTCATTTAATTACATATACAGTAGCAATACATTTAGTTCCAACTTACATATGTATCCCTTTAAAGTATATTATTTCCATAATAAATAATCTTCTTAAAAGTATGCTGCAGTATAAAGTATATAAAGCAGGGCCTAGTCAGGCCCCTGTTCGGGAGACAGTAGGTTGACCAGATGTCCAGATAAAATCAGGACAGTCCTGATTATACGAGCCATTGCCCATGTCTTGGAGTTACAGAGCACCATTTGTCCCGATAATTAATTTTGGCTTTGGTTGGATTGCTATAAATTAATGTTTTGAACTAATAGAAACATCACACAAGTATGATATAAAGAATCACAACTGCTGCTTCCTCTTCAGAAAATTGAGAGGTACGTAACAAACATGAGCTCGTGTGTAACTGCACAGATGACGGAACAATTTTTCATGGTCATCTGGTCACCTTAAGAGAGAGTGAGAGAAAAAGAGAGGAAGGGGAATAAGCTCGGACCTGGATGCAGGAGGAGAAACTGAGCAGGGTCAGAAGGAGGAATACTTGTGACATCCCTTAGTCCTGCTGCTGCTGGCACTGGGAGGGGAGCCGGAGGTCCAAACAGATATGCTCACCTCATAGGAAGGCTTCAGCTATCACCACACAGCCTAAAGCACAGATGGAAACAGACAGAGAGTCAAAGAGATCAACACATTATCAAACAGCAAATGCAAAGAGTACCCTCAAATAAAGCTGAACGTTATGATGATGATTGATATATATATTAGGGCTGTCATTTTTAACACGTTAACGCATGCGATTAATTTTACAATCCTTAACGCATTAAAATAATTTAACGCAATTAACGCAAAATTACTGAAGCACAATTTCTACTCTAACCCTTTAACCCAATTTTGCTTATCTAACCCTTTAACCCAATTTTGCTTTAATATCTTTCATATGTGCTTATATGGGCTCCTTATATTATTTGGTTCTTTGGTGTCCATTTGGAGTTTCTAAGTGTCCTTTTTTGGAAAGACATCTAAATTTATCTTGAAAAAAGCTAGCAGAAAATACAGATTTTTGAGAATCACCCTTCAGTCTTTTGGTTTACTTTGCTGGATATAGCAAATGATGACAAAATAAACATTTGAAACAGGATAAATGGTCTATGCTTAATTTCATGAAGTGTGCGATTAATCGAGATTAATCACAGAAAAAGGGTGTGATTAATTAGATTAAATTTTTTTTATCTATTGACAGCCCTAATAGCCATTACTCCAGGCTTCAGTGTCACATGATCCTTCAGAAATCATTCTAACATGCTGATTTGGTGCTTAAG